ATCTGGACCATGAGAGGTCCCTAGAGTCATTACCTTCTAGCTTTTTGCAAGAAAATAAGAAATTGGAGACTAGGTTGCCATTTCTAGTGTTATTTCTCCATTTGAGGCTTGATATGGGTTGCATGCACGTAAAGGTTGCACCTTTACGTGACTTTTGAGTGTTTAAGGGTTAGATCTATGATTTGGCTAAGTAGATCTGACCTCAGGAGGTTATATGAGCGAGTCCATGGAGGAAACTCACCGAGTCCATATGTAGACTCGACGAGTCGGACCGGGTTGCCCCAGGGTCTGACTCCAGTGGTGATCCGGTGAGTTGAGGGGTGACTCAGTGAGTCGAGTGAGGCTTAGAAAGGGAAGAGTCTGTGGGGACGATGGGACTCGCCGAGTCGTCGTATGCACTCGGTGAGTTTGGTCAAAATGGACAGTTGACTTTTGGGTTGACTTTTAGGGTTTTGTCAACCAATGGGCCTTGGGCCTGTAGAGGGGTAGAATGGTCTTTTACCCTTCTAGGGATTTGCATGGGAGAATATCCAAATTGTGAAGAGACATTTATTTAGTGAAATTTATTATTGTGACTAGGCGGAGGCTAGGGCAGTATTCTGATATCGAGATATTACCGAGATTCCCGAGGTGAGTCTTCTCACTATACTTTACCTAGAGTGGTAATCAGAGCTATGTGACAGTGTATCTTGTATGCTATTTATGTGTTGTGATTCTATGTGATATGTGAAATGCATGATTCGGAGTTTACAGAGTTAGGACCAGTGGGTCCATAGAGTTATGGGACCAAGAGGGTCCCACAGAGATATTCGACCAGAGGGTCATCAGAGTTACAGCCTCGAGTGGCTGATATGTGTTTATGTGGTATTTTGGGGAACTCACTAAGCATTTATGCTTACAGTTGTTGTGTGATGTGTTTCAGGTACTAGCGAGGATCGCGGGAAGGCGCCGGCATGATCCGTACACACTAGTGGAGATTATGTTTTTGAAATTCTTGGATTTGTTTATTGTGATAACATGAGATACATTGGATTACTGTGATGTTTTATGAATGAAAGTATGTTTTAAAATTGTGAAAAATTATTCGAAAATTTGGGTGTTACATGATGGATGCTTGAAAGCTATTTATAGGAGTCCTGGTGAGAGGGCACACCGTGCCTCTGCCTAGGCATGTCGCGCCTTAGTGTAGGCAGCAAGGCTCTTCCTGGTGTAACATGTGTCACAAAATGAGTGGTGTTGAGCCGCCTTTAGCAAGTAAATCTCGTAATCTTTATAAAATCATATATTTCGCATATGAGCTCCCTTTTTGACGTTCTTTATATTCCCAATTTCATATCGATGAGTACTACAACTTTCATGTAGACTTTGTTGGCTAATTGACATTCTATTTTTATTTTATAGTCTATGAGAATTACACAATAATATCTCCTTCATACGAGCTCTGTTCTCGACATTCTCTATACCGACGGATTCGTATTTACGAGGACATCAACTTTCATTTAGATTGTTTTGGTCAACAATCAGATAATAATCAAAACCGAAATTATAGGATCTAACAGTGCAACACGTCGAGTTGGGCAAGCAGCTCGTCGTGTTGCATGTCAACATGTCGAGTTCAAATAACAGCTCGACGAGTTTGATGAACATAATGTCGATTCTGTTCCTTTCTCCTTTGAACAATTCACAATTGCATTAATTCAATAGAAAACTAATTCTAGTCTCTGATACCACTGATGAGTTTTGAGCATAACAACAATACCTATGTGTGCATGCAACCATAATGCTTTGGATCTAGGTTTTCTCTAATTGAACATGCAAACTTTGAACACAAAGTAGAAGCCCTAGGATATAACTATAATTTTTGAAATCAGCATAAAACTAGGGTTAGGTTACATACCTTGATTGTTATATTGTTTTAACAATGATTCCCTTATAGATCTTGAAGCTTGAGAACTTAGTGTCACACGTGTAACGTCTCTAATGGCTCACAAACACACAATGCAAGAGAATGATATTAGAGAGGATAAAGGCAATTTTAGTTTCTTCTTATAAGAAGGATTGGCCGAAAATCATAAGGTTTAAAACCCTTTATATAGTGCACCAAGGATGCTATAGATAACCCTAATCTGAATAAAATATCAATATTTCAAACATAAGAATTATCCACCTCCTTTGATTATCCATATATGAAAAGATATTCTAGAAACTCTAGAATAATATTATATATATTATAAATTTCGTCCACCATCTTTCCTAGGAAGGTTTTGGACCTTTTTGCTAAACTATTGAACAATTTCACTTTTAGTCCCTACACTTTTAATTAATTCATTTAATCCCAATATTAATTCCAAATTAATTTCTGATTAAATATTAATTAATAATATGACTTCTAATTAATATATCATTTCCATAACATATTAATAAATCATATATCTCAATTTATTAATCAAATTAATAAATTCTTCCTCTTCCTCTATTAATCATCATGTCTAGTTGTTAGTGTGAAGGCAACCAAAAAGGACCATGTAACTATCAATTCAAATACATACCAATTATAGTTATGAGCTTAGACACTTAATCCAAAAAGAAGTAAAAGGAGAAAGGAGGAATTTTTTGACTTTTCAAAGTCAGTGTTAAAGGAAAATGGGTTAAGGTCTATGTGGCAAAGGGGTAACCGGGTTACCCCTTCATTTTATTCAAAGTGACCAAATCGACCCGACAAAAACCACTTTGTTCCCTTAAAAGGCATGAAAAAAACTTTAGGGGCTTAATAGGTAAAGTTGTGATATATAGTAGGGTCGTTGCATCATTTTCCCTTATAATTTTGCCCAACTTTGAACGACCATAACTCTTTCATATGAGCTCAGAATGAGTTAATTTTTTTTTTGAAGGTTGTAATCTTGTGTTTTGGTTACAATTTGGCTTAAAAACAGTTGAATCTATTAAGAAATAGTTGTGTTACACAGATCTAAACAGGGCCTATTAAGGATGCATAATTTTTTTTGTACAAACAGTTAAGTTCATTTTATCTCATTGTAATGGTAAATCAAATCACCAGATAATGAGAGAATGTCACATCAAAATGGTAATGTACTTTAGAAGTTCCGTTCTTTGCGGTTTTGGAACCAAAGAACCGGAACCGCACCGAAACCGAACCGATATTTTTGGTTCGGTTTTTTGGTTCCCATAGTTTCTTATTTTTGGTTTTCGATTTAGTTATGGGACCTATCTCATCGCTACGTGGCAAATACTAACACCCCAACAAAAACATACATACTACTAGGCCGGGTTAAAAAAAAAAGTTAAGGACCAAGTATCAGACCACCATAAACCACAGGGACCATTGGTGTAATATAATCAAAACTTAGGTTTGTGCAATATACGTTGACCATAGTAGGACTATTGGAAGTCTATTTGCAAATCGTAAATAATCTCACCACAAAATACATAATCATTTTAGAATATATAGTAAAACGATTATTTTGTCACAAAATACAGATTTAGTTAATTTTTATTAGCCATAAAAGATCCCCTTCCTATTGAAAAAGAACATTTCCCCATCCCCAAAGCCCTCTGACGACGATTCCCTCAAAACAAAAACATTCCCCGAAATGGGCAACCCATCGCTACCCCTGCTCGGCTGCTCCGCCTTGAACGCCTGCCCCGACTTCATCGCCTGTGCGGCTACAGGTCAGCAACTGTTGAGTACCCCATGGCCATCGCCATTTCCTGCCCAGAAGTCCTCTACGCTCTCACTTTGTTAATTCGCAGTTCGCCTGCTTAACTTTGTAATTTGGAAGGAGGTAATATACTTGTACACTAATACTGCTTGTGCTCTGTACTTTGCTGCTTCTTTTATGATTAATTATTGTTTAATCCGTGTTTTCTGTTTTGTATTTTGAATTTTGTTCATGTATCATATTTTTGATCTGATTTTGTATTTTGCTATGTGTGAGACATTCTGTTTTTCTTGGTTTGATTGGTATAATCTGGACTTGAAATGTTTTAACTTTTGGTATTTTTTGTGAAAAAGTGCTAGTAATAGGTTTGCAAAAGTAAATATATATAGAAGCAAAAGACCAAAACGATGTATGATGTGCCAATTAAATTCTATTTGTTTGTTATTTTAATTACTCAAACAAGCTATATTTGACATTTTACATATTTCCGTAATAATATTTTATATACAAAAAACTGGAATATGTTAATAAGTGGTAGCAACTTGTTGTCAGATTGATATATTTTAATCTTATTATCAGGCATACACGTAGGTATCTTGTATAAAAGCTTACATTAAATGAAACTTTTAACAAAAATAAAAATAAATACAATAAACCATTCGAGATGTATCCCATGAATAAACGAGAATTATTAAGTGTTTATCATAATTACAAACTTACTTGCCAATAGAATATAAACATATATGATTTATATGAAAAATACCAAGAAGACAGTTTTAGTTATTTGAAATTTGTAAAAATCTTTATTATGAAAAATGTCCCAACATAGACGGTGTTGATTTTAATAAGATGATATTATTGAACATATATAAGTGATGTTATTGCCTATTGGGCATAGAAGCTCAAATTTCCCTATTTGATACCTCAATTAAAAAATGCTCAACTATTACCAACTGATGTAGAAAAATTTATTAATAATATTAAGATTATATAAGCATCTAACATTATCTTCTCCCTTTCTTTGTTTTCTAGTGGTGGGTGCATATTACATTGGCTGCCGGCTAGAGGGTGCAAAAGAATATTAAAATTATAAAAAAAGTCAAACACTTCGTACTCCCTTTTATATTCTGGAGTGGTTGATTGCGTTTTGTCAGCAGGCTAGGAGGTGGAATATATATGATAAAATTATGACCATAAAATCGCTGAAATCACTATAAAGAATGGCTTGAATTGTTCTTATTTCTGCCCTCATTTCATCTACATCCCAAAAATTCATACATACTTACCAAGTGCTCCCATTTTGAGTCTTCACTATAAGCAATGGCTGAAATCGTTCTTTCTGCATTCTTGACAGTAGTCTTCGAAAAGCTAGCCTCTGAAGCCTTGAAGAAGATTGCTCGTGCTAAGGGAATCGATTCCGAGCTCAAGAAATTGAAGAGGTCATTAGACCAGATCCAGGATCTGCTTAATGATGCTTCTCAGAAGGAAATAGCTAATAAAGCTGTTAAAAGATGGCTGAATGGTCTCCAACATTTGGCTTATGACATAGACGACCTACTTGACGATTTGGCTACCGAAGCTATGCATCGGGAGCTGACTGATGAATCTGGAGCCTCGACAAGCATGGTAAGAAAGCTAATCCCAACATGTTGCACAAATTTCTCACTTAGTAGTAGGATGCATAGGAAGTTAGATAATATTACCATCACTTTACAAGAACTGGTAGAGGAAAAAAATAATCTTGGTTTAAGTGTGAAATGTGAAAGCCGAAAACAAACAACCAGAAGATTACAAACCTCTTTGATAGATGCATCGAGCGTTGTTGGTCGTGAAGCTGATAAGGATGCATTGCTCCATAAGCTGCGGGAGGATGAACAAAGTGATAGAAACTTTAGCATCGTACCCATAGTTGGTATGGGTGGGGTGGGTAAGACTACTCTAGCTAGACTTTTGTATGACGAGATGCAAGGGAAGGCTCACTTCGAACTCAAGGCGTGGGTTTGTGTTTCTGACGAGTTTGATATCTTCAATATAACCAAAATTATCTTCCAATCGATAGGTGGTGGAAACGAAGAATTTAAGGACTTAAACCTGCTTCAAGTAGCTTTAAAAGAGAAGATTTCAAAGAAACAATTTCTTATTGTTCTTGATGACGTTTGGAGTGAAAGCTATGCGGATTGGGAAATTCTGGAACGCCCATTTCTTGCAGGGGCAGCCGGAAGTAAAATTATTATGACGACTCGAAAGATGTCATTGCTAACCCAACTGGGTTACGATCAACCTTACCATCTTTCGGTTTTGTCACGTGACAATGCTCTATCATTATTTTGTCAACATGCCTTGGGTAAAAGTAACTTTGATTCACATCCGACACTAAAACCACATGGTGAAGGTATTATTGAAAAATGTGACGGTTTGCCGTTGGCTTTGATTGCCCTTGGGAGATTATTGAGGACCAAAACAGACGAGGAAGAATGGAAGCAACTGTTGAATAATGAGGTATGGAAGTCAGGAAAGGTAGATGAGATTGTTCCGGCTCTTAGACTAAGCTATAGTGATCTGTCTGCCTCTTTGAAGCTTTTGTTTGCATACTGCTCCTTGTTCCCCAAAGACTATGTGTTTAATAAGGAGGAGTTGATTCTTTTGTGGATGGCAGAAGGGTTTTTTCACCCATCAACCACCAGCAAGTCGATGGAACGCTTGGGTCTTGAAGGTTTTGAAGATTTGTTGTCAAGATCATTTTTTCAACATGCACCTGATGACAAGTCGTTGTTTGTGATGCATGACCTGATGAATGACTTGGCCAAATCTGTTGCTGGAGATTTTTTTTCAAGGTTAGATATTGGGATGAAGAAGGAACTTCCGAAGGAAGCTTTGGAAAAACACCGCCATATGTCATTTGTTTGTGAGTATTGTATGCTTTACAAAAGGTTTGAGGCATTCAAAGGAGCTAGAAATTTGAGAACATTCTTAGGAGTGTATGCTGGGATAAAAGAAAGTTGGAGAACATTTTACCTATCAAATAAAGTCCTGGACGACTTACTACATGAGTCACCTTTGTTAAGGGTCCTATGTTTGAGTGATCTTAGCATAAATGAGGTACCTGACTCCATTGGTAGTTTGAAGCACTTGCGGTATCTTAATTTCTCTCGAACTGAAATCACACATTTACCGGATAGTGTCTGCAACCTTTATAATCTTCAGACGTTGATTGTTTCTAGTTGTACGAGTTTGAAAAAGTTGCCAGAGAGCTTCGTAAAGCTTAAAAATTTGCGGCATTTTGACATGAGAGATACTCCGCATTTGAAGAAGATGCCTGTAGGGATTCTTGAGTTGAAAAGCCTACAAACTCTCTATGGGATCATTATTGAAGGAGACAATGGATTTTCAATAAGAGATCTTAAAGATTTAAAGAATCTCCAAGGGAAAATTTCCATTAAGGAGCTGGAAAAGGTTCAAGGCTCAATGCATGCACAGGAAGCGAACTTATCTGAAAAGAAGCTAAGTGAGTTAGAGTTGGAATGGAGTGATGTATTTGATAATTCTCGAAAGGAAAGGCTTGAAAAGGATGTCCTGAATGTGCTGAAGCCTTGTAGTGATACTCTAAAAGAACTGAAAATTGTGTCATATGGAGGTATAGAGTTTCCGAGTTGGGTTGGGAATCCCTCGTTTGGTCGGCTGACTCGAGTTTCGATAAGTGGTTGTAAAAAGTGTACATCTCTACCGTTACTTGGGCAGCTACCATCACTTAAGCAGTTGGTTATTGAAGGCATGGATGAGGTGAAAGTTGTTGCTTTGGAGTTTCTTGGGACTAATGGTCTTCCATTCCCTTCACTTGAAAATCTAACTTTTCGAGATATGAAAGGGTGGGAGGCATGGTCAACCAATAATAATGGGGTACTTGTCGATACAACATTTCCATGCCTTCAAGAGCTTCGTATTGAAAGTTGTCCTAATTTGTTTAGAGTCTCACTTGGAGCATTACCTTCACTGAGGGTTCTAGGAGTAGATGGTTGTGGTCATGAGGTGTTAAGAAGTTTGGTTCAGGCAGGTTCATCAATCACCAAGTTGGATATAAGTTCTATTTCAGGACTCAATGATCAGGTGTGGGGAGGTGTTAAAGAGCATCTTCGGGCAGTTGAAGAAGTAAGCATCAGAGGGTGTGATGAAATAAGATACTTGTGGGAATCAGAAGCAGAGGCAAGTAAGGCTTTTGTGAATTTAAGGAAGCTGGAAGTCCATAATTGTTCAAATTTTGTGAGTTTAGGAGAGAAAGAGAAGGATAATTGTGGTAGCAACCTAACATCTTTTACAACCTTGACTGTACGGGATTGTAAAGGATTGGAGCATTGCAGCTGTCCAAATAGCCTTAAATCGCTTCGCATCGTATTATGTGAAAAGGAGTTTCTGGTAGGACAAGAGAAGACTAAGACGCTGATCAGCTCAAGCATACTGATGCTTGAATCTGTTTCTATAAGTCAGTGGCCAAATATGAAATCGATCACTGAATTGAGTTCCTTCCATCACCTCAGGGTTATCTATGTAAGCCAGTGTCCAAATATGGAATCATTTCCTGACCAAGAGTTGCCGAAACTCAATGTGTTAATAAATCTGACAATAGTATTTTGTCAAAGTCTGGATGTTTCCTTTTCTGGTGGGCTTTGGCCTCCAAAATTGTGTTCACTTAGCATAGGAGGGTTGAAGAAGCCCATTTCAGAGTGGGGCCCACAGACTTTTCCAACCTCACTTGTTAACCTAACTTTAATAGGTGGACAGTCGGAAGATGTGAGTAATTTCAGTCAGTTGTCCCATCTTCTTCCTTCAACTCTTACCTCTCTCCGCATAGAAGAATTTGAGAAAGTGGAATCGGTTTCAATGGGACTCCAACACCTCACATCCCTCCAGAGTCTCTTCATTTACAAATGCCCAAAGACGATAGATCTACCAGAAATGTTGTTTGCTTCACTTTTGATATTGAGAATTATTGGATGCCCAAAACTGAAAGAACGGAGTAGTAAAGGAGGCTCCTACTGGCCCCTCGTCTCAGAAATCCCCTTCACCAACATATACTGAGGAGTTACAAACTTAATATCAAGGTAATGTTCTCCGTCCGCCTTGATAAATTATAAATATATAATAATTGATTTTGCTTTCTTACTATAAACAAAACGCAAATATTCTATCCATATAAGCGAGTATATAATAAAAAAAATATTGTTAGTGTGTCAACATATATGGATGCTAAAATGTACATGCAATTGCTTCTTTTTTTGTTTCTAGTTATTGAATATGATTGAAGTTGTGTACATGGAAAGGCCACCATGAATTCCAAAATAAGTCAAACTGGTTAAAGAAGTGTAAATACTTCTCTCAAGCATCTCATGAATTAGAATATGCCCTAGGATTTACAATTTAATTGAAGGTAAGCCCCTCCCTCTGTCTTTGACCTGTTGTAGTTTATACTTTATAGATCAATATATGCATACATTAGATAATAAGTCTTTCTTTTACTCAAAAAGAAGACTTTCGCGATTATCCAAGAATAAGTTTTTGTCCCGATATCAGCAAGTCCTTTTGTTAACCCGCAAGTCCTATTGTTAACCAATATAATTTAGTTGTGAAATACTTCTTGGGTAGTCAAGTCCTAACTTCTAAAAACAGAGAAAAATTGCCTTATGATAATTTTCATGGCACTTCGTCTTTTTCTACTAAATGACATAAAGAAGTATATAAGTTCAATAGCCTATTAGTAATATTAGATATATATTACTAGCTCTAAACTTGTACTAATAATTTATTTTTGATTTATTTATAGGCGAAAGAAACACGACAAGAATAGAGTCTGATAGAAGGTTGGAAAAACATGCATTGCAATCAAATCCGTGGTTGGGCTAACAAGGCCACCCATCACGATTATGTAAGTTAATACTTTCCTATTTTGTGTATTAATTGTAATCCTTGATGAATAATATTGATGATTCAAAAGATAGATTATAGGATTATCACTTTGGTGTCACGGTTGATATAACTGTTTTAGGTTCTGTTTGTACTAAATCTAAATGTGGAGCTAATGCTGAGATTACTTAGCAATGTACTCTCTAACTCCTCTAAATGTAAAACTGATGACAAAGAATGTAAAACTAATCTATTTTAGGTTTTGTTTGTGCTAAATATCAAGATTATGAAACAAAATTCCAGAAAAGTTGTAGCTTCAATTATGAACAAAATTCCAGCAGCAATTTTGGAAGTGTGTTGCTATTTCTTGCATTTAACCAGAAAATTTGTAGCTTTTTGTAAGAAAACTAAAGGACAAAACAGGGGCTGCACTTTCAATGGGATAAAAGCTGCATCTTTTTAGTTAAATTTCAGTGGATTTTGTTGTCTAAATTCATTTTTAGTTAGGGTAATGCAAAATGTATTCCTTTTAGGGTACAAAATACTACTTCTAAACGTTCTGTTTCAAAAATGCAGAAGAAGCTTATTGTAAAGTATGATGCATGTAAGCAACATGGAGAATTCTCTTCTTCGGTCAATGAGGCTGAGGCTGAGGCTGATGTCCACAAGCATGTGCTCCAAGAATAATCGTTCTGTAATTAGACCATGGTATTAAAATTGATATATTTCTGGATATTTGGTTTTTTGGATGTGTTTTATTAAATTTTGGTTTAGTCTTGGAAAATTAAAAATAAAATAAAATAATTATCAGAATTTTGGTTTCTAAATATTGGGAGGATATGTCATCCTTATAGAAATTAAAACAAATTCAGGCCTAAAACAAATTCCAGTTTGTTATATAAAGAGAACGCATTGGGGTTGATGAGCATGTGTCACCCTGTAACTTTTAGGCCGTACTTTATGTCACCAGTGTCTATATTTTCACTTTTTAAGGACTTCAATATCTAAATCATGCGTTAAATCGTCTACTTTACAAGTTTCCACCATCTCCGACTATTATGCTTAAAAGAATTACACTTGACATACACAGCTTACCAAAAGCAGATAAGAAAAATGAGACAAAGAAAGAGAACCAACTTGGAAACTCACCCATCTGAAGCCAATGTGAACACCAAACCAGCCACCAATTAACAGTCATGATAGCCGATTACTTGTAAAATAGATTAGAGACAATGAAAGAGAATATCATACAAAGAATAGTGGCATTGATTGTGACTATGGTCACTAGAAAGCAATGGGTTTTGTTTTTCATATTTCTTGGGATAAACACAGCTAGCTTCTATGCTATTATATCAAACAGTTCCTGAAGCAGTACTCAAACCTTTATGCTAAAATTGATAACGAGCTTCTATGCTATTACTTATACATCAAACCTTTATTCCTTTTTTTAGAGAAAGAGTTTCGTTTTATTATTTAGTGTTAACACCATATAAGATAAACGACCTAATTAAAATGTCTCTAAAAACCATTTACATATTTATTTATATACTATATTAGAACTGAGGTCATTGTTGAACTAGTAGTATACAAGTTCGTTGAGTGGGTTGGTCGGTACTTTCCTATATGTTTTACAGTAAACATGTCATAACTTGCCTAAAATATATTTAGATAGTGAAACTTTTTTAAAATCATTGTTATAAATGTTCTCTTGTTTCAAAATGATGGTTTATGTCAAAAATTAATCAAGGCATATTTACGCTAGGTTTGTTTATTGACGGATGGTTACATAATTGGAGTATTGCATACTTGTTACTAATAATCAAGCGTTCTACTTTTATTTTATTTTTCTTAGACCGGAGGTAGTGCGAGGGAAGCTTCCCTCACTTTTTGTGGGCCATACTACCCTTTCCCTCACTTTCTTTTCCTTCACCTAAAACCTAAGGAATTGGTTGGAAGGGCTTCCCTCACTATTTTTTTTAAATAAAATTAATTTTTTTTATAATTTATAATTTTTAAATTAATACTAAACATAAAATTTAATTAAAAATAAAAAGCATTTCATTGATTAAAATAAAAATTACATTACACCTAATATTTAAATAAGTAGAAAATTAAAAAAAAAAACCAAAAAAAAATCAAACAAAAAATCAAAATACGTCACTCGGAATCATCATCCTCGTCATCGGCCTCATCTTCTTCCTCATTCTCCCGAACGTCACTCTCGTCATCGGAATCTTCGCTCTCGAAGAACATATCAGAATCTTCGTCTGATTCGTCAAACAAATCATCGCGAGAAAACTCTATCGGGGGCTGAATATGAGCCCTATAAATGTGCTCCACCAAATCAGCATGAAGGGCGTGATGAATATCGTGATTGTGTACTTCTCTTCTATTCGCCCTATACTCTTGTGTACCAACGGCTACTCCTTCGACATTTGACAAAACTTCATTTTCGTTGTACCGACATATCGCTATTCCTTCGTCTTCAAGAATCATATTATGCAATATGATACATGCATACATTACGTGCTGTAACCTTTTCACTTTATATGACCTTGCCCTGATTGCTAGTACTTGTCAACGTCTCTTAAGTACACCAAATGTTCGCTCCACATCCTTCCTAGCTGACTCTTGCGCCTCTTTAAACTTTTTCCATTTCGGGTCGTTAGGACATGTAAACGATTTCACAAAAACAGACAAGGGGGGATATATAGCGTCAGTAAGATAGTAGTCACGCTTATATGCTACCCCATTTTCTTGAAAAGGTACATTGTGCGACTTTCCAAGGTAGATATCGTTGAATACCGGCGACTGGTCTAGCACATTGATGTCATTGTTTGCACCAGCTGGACCAAAGAATGCATGCCATATCCAAAGATCATGTGATGCGATATCCAAATACCACGCCATGCGTTGGGGCATAATGACCAACCCCAATGCATGCAATCGATACTACCAAGCATTCCAGGGAATCCATGCTTTCCTTCATGCACCGTGTACAATTGGTGGATATCGTTGATAGTTGGTTTGCGCAAATATTGTTGCCCGTAAACCAAACAGAACGCTTTTGCAGAACTTGTACACACACTCCCGCACGGTACGCTATGACATCCTAAAATACTCGTCCCATTTGTATACGCCCATGTTGTATGTTAACTGACGAATTGCAGCCGTGCATTTTTGAATGGGAGAGAAACCTTTTATCCGCCTTGCATCCATTTTCCATTGGAAATATGGAAAACGACCTTCCAAATCGCCAACAATACATAAGAATAGTTCCTTCCTCATCCGGAACCGACGTCGAAACTTTACAGCGTAGATGACGTCATCTGCAAAGTAATCTTCAATAAGATGATCGTGTTCGGCTTCGTGATTTCTATGCAACTGCGGCTTTCTTGGTTTAGATCGTGCACGTGATGTTTCGCCTAGTCGGTTTTGATAGTATGCAACCGTTTTAGCCATGACAGAACCGATAAACTTAGCCTCCACTACAGCCGTCGAATCGGATGATGAAGATGATGACATTTTGATTAATATTTTTTGGAGAGAAGTATAAGGTATGGGTTAAAAAACGGTTGGGTGTTGTGGTATTTATAGTTTAAAAAAGGGGAAAAAACAAATATATATATATATATATATATATATATATATATATATATATATATATATATATTAACGGCTATATTTCCGTTTGAATCAAAAAAAGAAAAAAAATAACGGACGAATGAGGTGAAGAGTGAGAACGCGTCATCCCCACCTCCTTCCCGCGCTTCGCATCCCGTATCGACGGTACGGTGTTCCCGCATGCAAGAAACGTCCCGCACCCCTCCCCGCAGCTCCATTCCATTCGCCCTTAGTAAAGGCCATGTGCTTCAGAGTGTTTACTACCAAAACTTTGCATAATCTATCCTTACTTACCATCATCCAACATTCCAAACCTTTTTCTTCACTTCTCTTTTTGAATCTTGAAGCATACGAATTTTAACCATGGATAGTTTCAGCCAATTTTGTACAATGTATATAACACTATAAGTCATCTGAAACTCGTATCTATTTGGGTGCCTCCTAAATAATAATGATTATTTTACTTTTTTAACCCTTGACATCCTTACTATTACTATCGAGGGGTAGCCATATAATGCTAAAATACCTATACCAAAGAGCTTCCAGCCTAGCGGTATCCGGTGTTGCCCTCCCTCCTTGAGGTCGGAGGTTCAAGTCCCACTGTGGACATAGGTGGATTAATTTAGGAGTAGTTTAGTATATATTTATATTTGTTGTTCAAAAAAAATCAATAATGTTAACATTTACATGTGCAACTGTTTTCATATTAGGTTGATTTTAAAATGTCTATCTTGGTTTAGTGGTAAAGCTTCCACCTTTTGAACTACGGTTCCTAAGTTCGTAACATGTAAACTTTATTTTTTTCAGTTAAAAAAAGATATTAGGTTGATTTATTCATTTAATAGGTTAGTACAAACTTAATTCCAATCTGGATGGAGCTGATAAAATGATTTAAACTATGATAATTCCATAACACGATTTAAACTGCTATAAATGATTTCAGATGTTCAAAAAAATGATGCATGGACTGAAAAGGAACAAAAATTTCACTCAGAACGCTTTAATTTCTTCACAAATACTTCAATTGAAGTCCAATATACTTAACAATATCGAAAAGGATGAAGAAAATTATCATTTTTGCATGAAAATCCTTTTTAATTTCAAAAATGAAAAACTATGCAAAACCCTAAGAAAACATCCTTGCCTGGTGAGCAAACGAATACATGGTGCTTGAAGCAAATTAGACTTCACGCGATGAGGAAGCACTCTTGGAGGCTTGGAGTTGTTATTTCACTGTTTCCACATGTTAGGTGGATAAAGGCCGTGGAATGGAGGAGAAGGGGCTGTGAAAGTGGGTTTTCATATGATACGTGGCAAATTAAATTAAGAGTAAATTACATGAATGGTCCTATGGCTTGGGGTAATTTGTACGTTTGGTCCCTAACATATTTTTTTAACTCGGAAGGTCTTTATAGTTTGTTTTTTTTGCACGCTTGGTCCCTATCTTACCTAAAAAGTCTATTTTGCCTTTGATTTTTTAATTTATTTAAATAAAGTAAGGTAAGGTGAGGTGGAAGTGGGGTTGGGGGTGTGTTTATTTAAATAAATTAAAAAATCAAGGGCAAAATAGTCTTTTTAGATAAGATAGGGACCAAGCACGCAACAAAAACAGAAAGTAGGGACCTTCCAAGTTAAAAAAAATTAGTTAGGGACCAAACATGCAAATTACCCCAATTTATTTTTTTAACTCGGAATGTCTCTACTGTTTGTTTTTGTTGCGTGCTTGGTCTATGTCTTACCTAAAAAGACTATTTTGCGCATGATTTTTTAATTTATTTAAATAAACATGGTGGTTGTCGAGGCCAACAAAATTAATAACCCTAAATCTTTTACACTAAAATAGTGTATAGTGGTAAGGGGGTCGAATCCACGGAGCTTGGTTCAATTTTATAACTCTATGAAAAATCTCTTTGTAAAAAAAATACTTGTAAAAAAACAATCAAAATAAAAATGGGGGGGGGGGGGGGGGTTGGTCTTTTTAAATACTTGAAATAAACTAGAATTAAACTAAGATTTAAATAAACAATTACAACAAAAATAATAGTTTTATGTAAAATCAATAAGAGAAGGATGATTGACTTAAGGTTTCCTCAATTTGACTTTTGATGAACATATCATTAGAATCCAATGGTGCAATACTTGATTTAAATCCTTAAT